CCTAAGCCCCTAAGCCCCAAGCCCCTAACCCCTAAACCCTAAACCCCAAACCCCCGAAGCCCCTAAAAACCCTAAACCCTGAACCCCATGTAGTTTGCAGGTCAGCTCCGAGCCGGCCGACGTCGGAAGCAGGCAACGACCCGAAGGCTGTGCAGCCGAATCCCGTTCAAGCTTTAGGGGTTCAGGGTTTAGGGTTTAGGGTTTAGGGTCTAGGGTTTAGGTGTTTAGGGCTATAGGGTTTAGGGTTTAGGGTTAAGTTTAGGGTTTAGGGTTTGAGGTGTAGGGGTTTGGGCCGGGGCTTCGGGTTCCTGAACCCTAAGCCCAAAACCCAAAAAGGCTTCAAACCCCTTTAACATCAGATCAGATCATATCATATCATGTCATGTCATGCCACGCCATACCATATCATGCTATGTCATGTCATAATGTCATATCAAACCATATCACGCCATATCATGTCGCAAGTACCGTACCGTAATTACCATACCATATCACATCATATGGGGGACCATAAGGTGATACTCCTACTACGTATTCTGACTCCTATACTCCCCGAAGCCCCCGGAAGATACCCCGAAGCGCCTTCTGGCTTCCGCCATCGGAGGGGAACCCGAGCTTGGCCTTACATATGACAGTCTACAGGGAAGCTCCTTATAGCCTGACGGGGCCCTTATAGGATTTTAGGGTTTGGGCTTTTTTGGGTTTTGGGTCTAGGGTATAGGATTTTTAGGGTTTGGGCGCTTTTTGGGTTGGCTGAAGAAGCCCTTAAGCAAGAAACCCAAGAGGGAGACTCCCAAAAAAAAGTTGGAGCAAGGGGGGGGAGGGTGGATGTGTTGAGGTCGGGTTTGGGATGGTTTGGGTTTTTGATGGCTTGGGAACCCGGGGCACGCTGCCCTCCCACCTAAACAAAGGGGTTTTGGGTTGTGGGGTTTTGGGTTCTTGGGGGTTTAGGGTTTAGGGGCTATTTGGGGTTCAGGTCTTGGACCCGGGGCACGCTGCCCTCCCACCTAAACCAAGACCTGAACCCCAAATAGCCCCTAAACCCTAAACCCCCAAGAACCCAAAACCCCACAACCCTAAACCCCTAAACCCCAAACCCTACACCCCTAAACACCCCCAAAACCCAAAACCAAAAAAAACAAGAATCCCTAAAAGCCATCAAGCCCAAGCCCTGTACCGGCCCGACACATCCCAAAAGCAGTTCTGGGAGTCCAGACTTTCGGGCTTTCGGGGCCACCCACAGCTCTCTTATTATGGCGATTCTTGGCGTTTTTTGCGGTGTTAGGGCTTGGACATTGGCTTGGGGTTCAGGGTTTGAGAGTTTAGGTCTTCGGTTTTGAGGGTTTAGAAATGGGTTTAGGTCTTCGGGGTGGAGGGTTTAGAAATGGGTTTAGGTTTCAGGGTCTAAGCATTAAGGTCACCCGATTCAGCAAGGACTCCAGCACCGGGATCATGCGCCGCACGTCATTGGCACCTGAACCCCAGTCGGTCTTGATGCGAGCTAAGCCTAAACCCTAGGCCCTAAACCCTAAACCCTAAGCCCTAAACCCTAAACCCTAAACCCTTAAACCCCTAAACCCCTAAACCCTATACCCTAAACCCTAAACTACACTGCCATTGCATAGCTGTGATTTGAGATGCGCTTGCTAAGCTTTGTAGGTTGAGGTATGGGGCTTAAGGTTTGCCGGGTTAGAATCGTGAACCACACTGAACCACTAAACACCCAAACTCTGAACCCTTGACACTCAACCCTTAGAGCCTCATTCATAAACCCCGAAACCAGTGAATCTGAACCCTGGACCCTGAACCCCCTACCCTAAATCGCTCCTCAACGACTGAACCCCGACACCCGGAACCCTGCACCCTCAACCCCTAAACCCCTAAACCCCTAAACACCTAAGCCCCTAAACCCTAAACACCTTTACTAAACCCTAAACCCCAAAACCTTACGTCCTAAGCACTCAGCCCCTAAACCACTGAAGCGCTAAACCCTAAAACCCGAACCCCCAAACCCCTGAAGCCTAAATCCTAAACCCCTAAAACCACTGAATCTGAACCCCTAACCCCTAAACTCCCAAACCCAAAGCCCCTAAAACCCTACACCCCTGCACCACTGCACCCCCAAACCCTGCACCTTAGCCTCAGGAACGGAGCCACGGCACAGCCGTGGAGCTCGTTGGAGGTGCCGGCGTAGTTGCATCCAATGAGAAGGCTCCTCCGGGCCCCGGTGAGGGGCTCCTGCCTCGGCCCAAAGAGAGTTTTAGGGTTTGGGGTTTAGGGTTCAGCATTTGAAGGGTAGACATAATACCCACCCACCCCTGAATCCCACAACATTGGAAATTAAAAAGTTCGTTCTTTTTACACCAACGACTTGCATTCGCATAGCACATCACAGCCCTGAACCCTAAACGCTAGCCCTTAAGCCCTGAACCCAGACCTTAAGCCCTGAACCCTAAACCCCTAGACCTTAAGCCCTGAACCCGGACCGAGAGCTGCACTTCGTTCGCGGCTTTGATCAAAAATGATCAGAAACCGCGAACGATGTGCGGTTCCCGACCGCAAGTGATCAGAAACCGCGAATGAGGTGCAGTTTCCTGGACAGAGAGCTGCACTTCGTTCGCGTTTTTTGATCAAAAATGATCAGAAACCGCGAAGGATAATAAGGTTAAAATACATAATGATAGAGAGTGTTTAGGGTTTAGGGTTCTTGAGTTTGCTGAGCTCTTTGGCTTGCTGAGTTCTTGATGATCTGCGTTTTTGTGTGATTTCACTAATTATAGGTTTCTTAGCTCTAGCGCCGCAGATATGGCAATTGCAGCAGGAGCAGCTTTGTTTTCTCATGATCACTACAGATACTGGCATTGTATAGTGCCACCGCGAATAGATCTTTAGGATGTGCTGGCTCAAGGATTCTATTCTTGGGGCTTCTCACATACTCATATCCTAATCAACAGTAATACCCTAATTTACTCCCGAACATACCCTCACACTACCGTGACATAGCGTGTAAACTACTACCCTGCACACGTCAGACCAGGAGGCTCGAAGCAGTGAGTAAAGCCCAGGTGTCTACACTACCCTGAACGATTTACGAGGAGAGGGGCTGTTCTATATACATTGGGTTTTCCGGTCAAGGTACCTGCCTCAATCATGACTCATGTTTAGAAGAATCCTGGATGCACTCTTAGCTAATTTGAACAACCCTGACATACTTGCGAGAGGCTCGAGTTCCCCAACCCGGATGACATTCTGAAACCTTCCAATGACGTAGAAACCATCTTCAATCTTACACTTCTACCCCCCAAACCCTATTCTAATTGTTGAGGCCCCTCAAAAGCACTCAGCTCCGAAAGAGAATTCCTGTCCTAAAGCTGGCCCGAGCCGCTTGGCAGCCTTCGGAGACACGTCACCTCAGCGGCTGCGCTGATCGGACGTAAGCCCCTGAACCACTCTCCGGAACCCCCAGACCCCAATCCAAAACGGTTTAGGATTCTTTAAGTAAAGTTTAGGGCTTAGAGTTTAGAGTCTAGGGGTCAGGGTTTAGGATTGAGGGGGGTTTGGGCTTCGCTGCTTCGCCTCCCTGGTAAGATCCAAATATACCCCTTATATAGTCTCATAAAGCCCCTATATAACCCCAAGACTTTAAGGGTCTCTCCTTTAGTCCCTTGAACCCAAGCCGCGAGATTCACCCTAAACCCTAAACCCTAAACCCCTAAACCCCTAAACCCCGAAACCCTAAACCCTAAAGGCCCTAGACCCTAAACCCTAAACTACACTGCTTGGTAAGATCCAAGCCGCGAGAGTCTCCGAGGCCCAGCAATCCCCACTCCTCCGCGCGGTGCTCGGCCTCCTCGGGCTGGGGAGGCTTCCGAGGAAGGCTCTGAAAAGGTGCCTTCTTCGTTGAGGGTTTATAGGGTTTAGGGTTTGTAGGGTTCATAGGGTTTATAGGGTTTAGGGTTTAGGGTTTAAGGTTTAGGGTTTAGGGCTTAGGGTTTAGGGTTTAGGGGCTTTACCCCGAAACCCTAAACCCCTTCACGCTGAACCCTGAACCCTAAACCCCCAAGCCCTCAAGTGAGGGTACACCAGCATCGCTTTTTCTTTCGAGGCTCAATCAAAGTCGATTAGGGCTTCCCGGGTCGAACATTCTACCCTAAACCCTAAACTTCCCAAACCCTAAGCCCTAAACCCTAGGCCGCAGCGTGGGGTTCCTAAAAGGGCTCCTTTATGACGGCGCAGATGTCCGCCGGAGCGGGCCTCCCCGAGAGCACCGAGCAAACCTTTCCCATGGCGCTTTTGGCGGCGAGAGGCGCGGCTTCGGGCCACTAGTCAGCAGTGTCAGAGTAAGATCACAGAGTCGGAAAAGGCCCGATCGAAAAGCAAAAGGCATTACTATGATTATGATTATGGTTATGGTTATGAGTACTGATATTACTACTAGCCTTATTATTCTATCATATTTATATATATATATGTATATATATATATATGTACAGGTACATATATATTTTAATTATTTCATTTGTTTGTTTATAAATATGTGACGACTGTGAGATAACCCAAGAAAATCGTGGAACTCCAGATCCCAAAGCCCAAAGCCACAAGAGGCCCTGCTTCGGATTGCATCTGCCGAACCCGAACCCCAGGGACCTCGCCTACGGCGACTGAAATCCGCACGCCCTGAATGGCTAATTTAGGGCTGAACCGTTGAGAATTTGAAGGCCGCCGTTCTGCTCTTGTTTGCGATGAGTCCTGGCGCTCGGCCGCTATTATTGTTTCGTACCAAACCACATGCTTGCAAGCGCAACTGATCCAAAAGCCCTACACCCTAAACCCTAAATCCTAAACCCTAAACCCAAATCCTAGAACATCACCGCCGAAAACGTTGAAACTCTAAGCCTCCAAGCCTCTCAACTGGCCGGGCACTTCTCCTCTACACCGTGGAAAGAAGGACGCGAAACGGGGCTCTTTTTGGCTGCGGGCGCTCTGCATCTAGCAAGTGGGCCCGGGGCACCGTGCGCTTAGAATCCTGAACTACGTCCTGAATGATCCTATTCAAAGCCCCGAACTCCTACTTCAACCTCTAAGATAATCAACCAAAGCCCAATCCTGCAATTCTAAACGGCACGGCCCCTGTCACTGTCATCCTCGGCGTAGCGGTATGCCAGAGCGCAGGTGCTGTTCTTGACTCCAGACTCGACCGGGGTATGCGGGCCGATGTTGGGCCGAAACTCCACTGCGGTCATCACCGCGGCCAGTACACCGCCACTCACATAGTCTGTGCAAAGTCCTGCAGCCCGGAGATGGGAAACATAGGCCCAAACTCCCAAACTTCCCTTGAAACCCAGCTATTTCGCAGGGGTAGGCCTGAAGGGCTTATAAGGGGCCTAGAAGCTTGGCATTTACAGTAAGGGTCCTCACAAGGGGAACCCCAGGCATCACGAAGCCTTAAAGTAGCTCCTAACTGTCGGATCACTCTACAGCGCTTCGAGAAGGGACCCCACTGGTTCCCTCACTTTCTCAGCTTTTTCTGCCTAAGAAGGGGATGCCAAAAAGCTGCGCAGGAGCGAGGTCACGAAAATGCACCAAAATTCCACAGCTCATCTGCAAAAAAACTCGGATCCGGACTAAGAGATCCAGCTAGAAGTACCCTAAACCCTAGGCCCCAAACTCTAAACCTAGCGGCTTCGGAATCAGGCTCCTACTTCATGCCATCATAGCCAAGGCTGCAGACAAACCCTGAACTCCAAGCCGGTGCAACACCCTGAACTTCAAGTTTTTAGGAATCTTGGGTTTAGGAATTTGGTGCTTTTGGAAATTGGTGGTTTAGGTTTAGATCTGTTGTGGGGCTTTGGGAGTCTTTTGAATTTTTGGGGAAAACCTGTCCACCCTTGTCCTGAGGTTGTGAAGGTTGCCCCTGCTCGCCGAATGCCATGGCCCCTCAGAGGGGCGCAAAGGCCCTCCAAACCTTGGAATACCCAGAGACCCCGATACCCCTTAATTAAGGAATATACCTTAAATTATAGGGGCCTTCATATTATGATTTAAGGTATATTCCTTAAATTAAGGGGTATTAGGTTCTCTTGCGCTCTCTCTTTGGGTGCGAAAACTGCACCCCTTTTGGAGAGTTTAGGGTTTCAGGGTTCTGCAGGGTTTCTGCTTGTAGTGCAGGATTATACAGGGTTTACGAACGGTTGCTCATGAACGGGCTCATAGTTGGTGGGTGTTCGGTTTGTGATAGACGCTCCTTGTGAACCTAAGCTCCAAACCCTAAAGAAAGAAATGCCTTCGGGAGTTCTGGCAGATTGGGATTTCCATCTTCGCCAGAAACAAGGACATCCCTTGACCAATCGGTTTGCGCAGAAGGAACTTTACATGTCTTGGCTCCGGGCCGCCTGAGTCTTGTGTTTCGGCATTCGGTTCGGGTCAAAGGATTCGGGGTTAAGATCGAGGGCTTAGGGTCTATAGGGCTGAGGGATTTTAGAATTAGGGCTTAGGTCTTCGGGTCGTCCAGGGGTCGTCGGTCGGTGTTCCAGCCAGGGCGCGACAGCCGAGCGTGGCAGAGCAGGCGCGGACGATGGCTTGGACACCCGAGGCCTCCACATCGGAGAGCTCCGGCGTTTGGGGCTTTTGGGGTTGGGGCTTCCTAAACCCTGAATCCTAAACCCTTACCCGTTTTAGGGCTTTCGGGGTTGGGGCTTCCTCAACCATGAATCCTAAACCCTTACCCCTTTTGGGGGGGCTTTCGGTCTAGAGGACTTAGCGCCTTGAGCCTTGCGGAATGTGAACTTTCTGCTCTGAGGTCAAAAAATCCCCCAGCAAACAGTCGAGGCGGTAGGGAAAAAAACCGAAAAGGAGTGGGCGGGAACGCGGTAAGCCCCTCAAACAGGTAGCCCCAAGCAACAGGGAAGGAGGGGCTCGGCTGCCCCGAACCTCAACGGTCTGAAGGGAGGTTTCGGGCCAGAAACGGTGTATTTCAGAGCCACGGCTCTCGGGTCCTTCTGCCCTTGACTCAAGAAATGGCAATGCTGTAACCCTAAACCCCAGACCACAATCTAGGGCTTCAATACCTAGAGTAGACTGTAAACGGATATGATGAGAACTTGCTCCTAAACCCCTCTAGGCCCCTCATAATGCCTGTTGAACCCCAAATTTGCATGTTGAGCCAGGGGATCCCCCCTCATAAACCCCACCCCGAAGTAAAAACAAAAATACACGCAAGACTGAAACCCTACACCCCTAAACCCTTAAACTAAACCCCAAACCCCTAAACCCCTAACCCCTAAACCCCCAAACCCTAAACCCCTAAACTTCCTATAGATCCCTTTAAAGGAACCCTTGTAGATCCCTCTAAAGGAGCCCTAAACCTCGTCACACCGGAGCCCGCGGTCGCTGCCCTCGGACCACCCCGAGGATCCCCTCCTCGGGTCGTCTTCAAGAGCTGAATAGGGGTTTGGGGGTTTAGAGGTTTTGGGGGTTTCGGGTTTCGGGTTTAGGGTTTAGGGTTTATTCAGTATGTACACATATTATGGTAGGGTTTAGGGTCTTAGGGGTTTAGCGATTATTCAGTATGTATCCATATTATGGTAGGGTTTAGGGTTTAGGGTTTAGGGGTTTAGGGGTTTAGGGTTTAGGGGTTTAGGGGTTTAGAGTTGAGGGATTTGCGGTTTAGGGTTTAGGGATCATTCAGTATGTATCCAGATTATGGTGGCTCCAAGCAGCTATGGTCACACTCAGGAAACCTATGAGTTGCTTCATGCCAGACCTTTTTCGTCGCAATAATAAAAGGCTTCTTCCATAAACCGGAGCCCAGTTTCGGAAAGGAGCCAAAGAAGGT